AAAGTTTAAAAAAAGAGGAAACAGCAAGTACACAGGCCCTGAAGTAAGTAGAACCCTAACCAGCATCTATTAAAAATCAGCAAGGAAGCTAGGGTGGCTGGAGCAAGGTGTACTGGGAAATGGAAAGAAATGTAAGAGAGAGGTAATGGCAATGGGGTAGATAGCTAACTTTGTTGGCCACAGTGAGGACTCTAGGTTTAACTCTGTGTGAGTGATAAGCCATTCAAGGTTTCGAGCAGACAGATATCATTTGATCCACATTTTCATATGGCTGTTCCAGCAGCTGTATTGCAAATGGGTTGGGTGAGGGCAAATGTTGGAACCATGCAGAAAGCTATTTCAATCACCCCATCAAGAGACAGATAGCAGCTTGGACCAGGGGGAAAGCAGTGGAGTGGGGAGAAGTGGTTAGATTGCACAAAAGGGAAAAAGTGTGGAGACAAAGATGTTCAAGAATGTTTTCTATAATCAAGAGAAACTAGAAAGAACCTAAATGTCCAGTAACAGAAGACAACATGACTAGTCAAAACAAAGCATATGCTTCTATTGTTCTCCTTTTTATAGGTTTTGGAGAGCAGCTATAGTCAAGGAAATTAAGAAAAAAGATGTTAGGCAAATGGTGATTTTTATTAAACTTTAAGATTGAGTTTCTTGTCCCAAAGTGTCTAAAATATGAAAAGGAATAAACTTTTGTCTAAGAAGTGAAAATGGGAAATGAATGTGTGATTTGGAATTTACATATTTGCCAGGAAAATATTTTGTGGAGGCTCAAAACTGGTAGATCAGAATTATCTCAATGTGGGGCTGGGGTTGTGGCTCAGTGGTAGTGTGCTTGCCTTGCATGCGTGGGGGCATTGAATTTGATACTCAGCACCAGATAAATAAATAAAATAAAGGTATTGTGTCCTACAACTAAAAATTTTTTTTTTTAAAATTATCTCAATGATCATTTATTAATCATTCCCCATATGTCAGGCATTATTCTTGTGCTTTTATGATAGCATAAAAAAAATCTAATTTTATAACACATAATCTAATTTCACAAACTTGCCCAAGGTGATTAACATAAATCAAAGAACTGAAACTCAAACCGGGGCTGTCTGATGCCAAAACCTACCCTGTGGTGTTAGGCTGGCTAGATTGATTTTTGAGGCTTTTCGTTGGGAAGAACAGTTCACCTCTTGGGATTGCATTGAATTGCATGTAACAAACCCAGACTATGAGTGCATTAAATAAGCAAGGAGGGCATTTTTCTCACATAAGAAGGCTGAAGCAAGACCGGTCCAGAGCGGGTGCCACTTCTTCTCTCTTGCGTGTTGCCCTATGGCCTAAGATTACTACTCTACCTGCAGCCTCAGAGCAGGAAACAGGAAACTCAAAGGAACAATATTTGCATCAGTAAAGCAAAAGCCTTGCCAGGACTTCCTCCTATGTCTCATTGGTCAGAACCATGTCATGTGACTCTGTTTCACAGATTCCTGTGACCACCCCAGTGATGACCTCTGGGAAAGTGAGTACTTTAGTTTGGTACACAGTCTTCCAGAATGAAACCTAGTTCACTCAGAAGTTAAGAGGGGAAGATTATCAAGGAGGCAGTTAGTAATGTTTATCCGGTTAATCTGACCAATTAGGGACATGGCAAGAGGAGATGATGCCTCAAAGTGTTACCCAATGGTGGATTCCTAGGGGTTCTGGGCACCATTGTTGATAAATTTCACTGCAAGAGAGACAGAGAAATGAAGTCTTTGTTCCAAGAGGCCTTGAGCTCAGCTTCACTTTTGCTTGTTTATTTATTTAGTTGTAGATGGGCACAATACCTTCATTTTATTCATTTATTTTTATGTGGTGCTGAGGATCAAATCCAGCACCTCACACATACTCCACCACTGAGGTACAATCGCAGCCCTTCACTTTTGTTTTTACAGGAAAGAATGAATAGTGGTGTGAGGATGGCCTTAAGCCTGAGCCCAAGCAACTCTGTCTTAAAAACTCCAGTTTGAAACCTGCTGTCTCACCAGGCACACCCAAAGAGCCCTCTAGTAAGGCCTCAACAAGTTATTTCCCCTCACCCTGATAAACAGAGTGAAGCCCCTGGCAGTCTGTCCTCGTCTGATAAGAGGGAAAAGCAAAGAAAGATTAAAGTGGAAACCACCAGACCAGATGTTTCTGACCCCAGGGTAAATGTTGTCATGGAGAAATCCAGTGGTAGCTGATAAGGATTGAAAGGGGGGTCAAAAGCCCCCAAATTTAGTATAAATAATAGAGCTAATGAACAGGGATTCAGCCAGCCAAAACAAGGATGCACTTGAGCTGGAGAGCCTGAGAGGACCTGACATCCTATCACTTGTCATCGTTTCCTGAGCCTCTGCATGATCCTCACCGCTCTCAAACTCTATCGCCTCATCTGGACCTTGGTAAGAGCCACAACTTCTCCCTATGACCCTTCCTCAACCTGTCATCCACTCCACTCCAGGAAAAGTCTGCCTTGGTTCCTGACCTGGTCACTGTAGTCTAAGTGAGTGTGCAACTACTGGGCATAAAGCCTAAGGATTAAGATTTTTGAATTTAGCATGCAGAGGAAATGTCTGTCATTAACCTGTTATGATTAAGTGTGTTTTGCAGTGCTTAGAATTAATCTAGAATTGTTTGCTGTGAATTGATTATGTCTACTGCAGTGCCTAGCATTGAGGATTGTCGTTTTCTTGATTAAGAATCTATAGAGTGAAACTGTATTGAGTAATTTGAGTGAATATAGCATTGAAAGGGGCAGAAGCGCGTGTACATTCTTTATTTCTCCCCTCAATTGCATGTTGCAATTTGCCCCCTCGAGACAAGTGGGAAGCAATGAATGGTCTTTGCCACAATCCCTCAACCCAGCCCCTTTCATGGAGTTTCCCTCGGGAGGTACCTGGTATGCATGGATATCCTCAAGTGCACACCCTCCCTAGACTGGAGAAGTCTGAGGGCAGTTGTTGACACAGGCTTTGGGAATGGAGGGAAAGCAGAGGGCACTTGGAAATAGTTGAGGATGCTGGGAGCATTTGAAGACAAATACAGCCTCCTGAATCCTCCTGGAGAAAGACATTGTAAATTCAGTCTAGCTCCTCAGAGTCACCCTGACCAGGTCCTGTCACTAGTACACTTCTCCTCCTGGACTTCATTTTCCCCTCCTGTAAAGGCAAATAATAATCCTATCTTGAAGTTTGGAGTGATGTACATCCAGCTCCTGTTTTATAGTATATATTCCACAGATGGCGGCTGTTATGTGTGTTAGGAGTATGATCTGACTCCCACACCCACCACTAATTCAGCTCCTATTCTCTCCCTGTCATTAGTACTGACAGCCCTTGCTCTTCCTTTATGAGAACACACACTCTGTGGCTCTCTGCCTCTTTACTTCCCCCCAGTGGATTCTGGGCAGAAATACCTCAAATTCTGGTGAATCCTATAGTCCTTCTTGATTCAGAGGATCTCACCCCTTCTCTAGGATATCCTTTCTGACCTCTTCAGATGAGTGAAGCCCCTCCTTAGTGCCCCTAGCAGTCCATACTTCTTTCTGTCAGGGTTCTTACTGCTCCCTGGGGCCATTACTGAGTTCCTGACAAGGCCAGTCCAGGCTCTTTCCAGGGTTGAGATATCCAGGCTCCTCATTTAAGGCTCTGTTTGAAGATGAGCAGCAGCAGGAGGAAACTGTGCCATATTTTATATATTTCAACTGTATCATATTTTATATGTGCCATATTTTATACTTTCAAATGACAAGTCATAGATGCTGTCTACAGCAAATCAGCACTGTAGACACACAAAAAGCAATGTAACATGTGTGTTATTTGCAGCTATTTAATTCAAAAATAAGAATTCATAGTATATCTGAAAGGAAAGTGACCACAACACTCTGAGCGACCACTGCTTTATTGCAGCAGTGCAAAAGAAGAGAAAAAGAGAGCGAGAAAGAAAGAGAGAGAGAGAGAGAGAGAGAGAAGAAAGAGAGCAAGGGAGAGCGAAAGCAAGCGAGGAAGACAGAGAGCAAGAGAGGGGGCCCCTGCAGGAGGGAGTTTTTATAGCCAAAAATCTAATGGGGTCTCTGGGTCTGCAAGCTGTCTTGTTGATGTTCAATGATTGGATCACACAGTAGTGCTAAGGCTGAAATCTTCTGCCTCAGGCAGATGGGGCAGGGGTCAGATGTGGGTTTCTGTTGCACCAGACCGGTGGGGGTCCAGTGTTCAGCCTTGAGTGGGGTTGAGTGTTCAGACTTGAGGCAAACAGGTGATAAAGAACCAGACACAGGGGGGTTTGAGTGCTGGGTTATCCTGCAGCTAACGTTTCTTCACCTTGTCCTGCACCTAACAATATCACTGACAGTTGTTTTAGTGGCATGAAAGTCTTGGCTTCTGTCACCTGTGTGTAAGCTCCATCTGGAGACAACTGCCAAAAGTGTAAATTTGTGACTGTTAGCTAACTGAGAGTTTGTGATGGAGAGCTGCCCTGCCTGTGCTGCCTGCGGGGGGACCTGGGGTAAGCTGGGGCTTCAATGCCTAGCGCCAGGAAGGGTTTTTTTTTTTTTTTTTTTTTTTTTTTAGTTGTAGATGGACACAATACCTCTTATTTTCTTATTTTACTTATTTATTTTTATGTGGTGCTAAGGATCAAATCCAGTGCCTCACGCCTGCTAGGCAAGTGCTGTACCCCTGAGCCAAAACCCCATCCCCAAGGAAAGGACTTCTTAATAAGCTCCCAGCAGCTCCCGCATCCCGCACACTAAGGGATGTCTCTCCGTCAGCCTCAGCCTGCGGCACCTCTCGCCACCCCACCGGCAGGGGGCGCCCCCCTCCACTCCGCAAATCCGGCTTGTCTCTCCAGAGCCTAGACCGGGCGCGGACGCCCGTTCTTCCGGGTCTGGAGCCAGCTGGGCGCGGTGGGATCTGAGGGCCGTGCTCCCTGCCCTCCCCTCCCCGGAGTGCTCAAGGCGGGGGCGGAGTGGGCGGGCGGGCACGCGGGCCCCGCCCCTGCCTCAGGCAGTCACCTGGGGCCAGGCGCGGCAGGTGCCTGGGCTGCGACCTCGCCGCTTGTGGTCTGAGAGTCTGTGAGCCGAACGCCGACCTCTAGCTGCCAGCCGCGGGTGAGTGCGGGGGCGGGGAGGCGTCCCGAGGTCCCGGCGGGTCCCCTGCCCCTGTGCCGCGCTGCTTCCCCGGTGTCGGGAGGGGAGGTATTTCCCTCCCAGGATTTGGAGGGCTGAGATTTCTCTGCTACTCGAGGGACCGGGGAGTACTCCACCGACCCGTGAGCCTTCCGGGCTCGGGTGGGACGCGACGGGTCTGTGGTGAGTTTGAGGGAAGCCAGGGAAGTGGCTTTTGAACGTTAAAAAACAGGGCAGAGAAACGCGGGGTTGTGACTCCTGCCTCCTCCCGGGCACTCTCAGGTGATTGCGGGCCCGTACACAGGCGCGGGCGTTCGCTCGGGCCGACTTTGCGTGCCGGCTGCTGAGCGGGGCGTTGCGGCCGGCGTCCGCGCGCACGCCGGGCGCGGGGATTAAGCCTCTGGGCTTTGCAGTGCTGGCCGGTCTCCGAGGACAGAGCGCCTTGGCTGGTTCCTTGATGACCAGCCTCACTAGCCCAATGCCTTCTAGATAACCTGGGCCGGTCTCTGGGAACCCGGCGGCTGAAGCAACTTTTTCTCACCTGCGCAGGTGGTCTCGGGAGGTGGCAGCAAGCAGGGTCCCGCATTCGGGAGGCGACTGCACCCATCCGGCCTCAGAGGAAGGAAACACGCTTTCTTCGTTCCCCACTGTGCAAACGCTCGGGTAAGGCGGTTGGTTGTTGCTCAACTCCCAGAGATAACTCGCACCATTGCAAAGAGGTGCAATGTAAATGGTGGCTGTCGATATTGTTCCGTTTCTTCAGGGGAAATGGGTTCTTGTGTGCTTTGTTTATAAATTTAGAGACAAATTTTCATATGTGCGATCAGCGTTTTTATGTGGTATCCCGGGAATAGAGTTATTAGAGTTATTGGGAATCACCTGGCTCCTGTGGGGTACCTGTGATTTGAAAACGATTTGAGAGACATAACGCAGCGTTACATCTTCTGAGCCTTTATTGTATCCTTATTAAATTGTTATAGTGAGATTGTAATAAATCACCCAGTCCATCTTAAAGCAGGAGAGGGAGCCTTTACTCACTAGGCTGTGGGCCAAGAGGCAGGCTGCAAGTCTACACCCTTCCATTCCCTCCTGGAGTTTGAGTACACCTTTACTTTTAATTTTTATTATTATTATTTTTTAATGTTTATTTTTTAGTTCTCGGCGGACACATCTTTGTTGGTATGTGGTGCTGAGGATCGAACCCGGGCTGCACGCATGCCAGGCGAGCGCGCTACCACTTGAGCCACATCCGCAGCCCATGAGTACACCTTTATAGTCCAAAACCACATTAATCATAAGTGGCTGCTGCTATCATTCAAAACCATAAACAAACGTTATGAGATCATAAGCAGAAGGGAAGTGGGTCAAAAAGACCCTAGTTGAAGAATGGTTACTAACACCTGGACAGTCAATCTCTGACAGGGTACATAGTCCAACAAAAATGGGAAGCAAAAAGGGAACAATTTTATATTGTGTTAAGAATTGCCATTTTGTGTTGGCAAACATGTTATGCTAAGCAACTATTGATAGGTACAGAGGCAGGGTGTTCCCATGGGAGAAGCATTCCTTACATGACATGGAGTCTCAGAGTAAAATGGAGTCTGTCTGGTCATTGTGAGTGAAGTTGAAATGTGGCTTGGGGATATGCCTTAAAATAATCCAATTTGGGGGGAGCTTAACAGAGAAATGGGGGGAAGGAGAGGAGTTGGTTATGAGTTGTTAATTGTTGAAGCCGGGTGATGGGTATGAAAATATGTTGAGCATTTTTCTTTAAAAGTAACAACACTATTACCTGTGGAGATTTTTTTTTTTTTGGTTGCTTGCTTTTTACTTTATTTATTTTTTTGGAAGAAGATAGGTTTAGGTTTAGTACTACAGGTCCTTTTAGATTCAAAGCCTTCCACACTTCCTTATTCTTTGTAAATTGGTTGTCATCACAAGCCTTCCTTTTCTCTCTCTTGGGGGTATGGATTTATTTTGCTCTAAAGGCACAGGGTGTTTGCTGAGAATGTCAAAGCTGAATGGATGAGTTGATGCAGGTGGATGCTGGGTCAGCTTTTTCTGCACAAAGGGTATCAGCATGCCTGGGGGTTGAGTTGCCTCCAGTCAGGCGGGTTGTATAAAATGTGTTAGCAGTTTTTGCCAGTTGCCCAAATCCCTTTCAAATTATACTCATCAAAAAGCAGAGGCCAGGGTATGAGGATGTAGCTTTGTGGTAGAGCACAGTCCTAGCATGCACAAGGCCCTGGGTTCCATCCCTAGCACCAAAAATGAACAAAAAGGCCAGGCTAAAGTAGTGAACACACATGCGTACACTTTTGGAACCATCATATAGGTTAAAAGATTTTTATTAAAAAAAAAAGATGAGAAGAGATCTGCTTATAACTTGAAAGAGATTTTTGTATTTTCTGTGCTGATTTTTTTCATATTTTTATGAGTTTGTATTAGGAATCATGACATGTAAATATTTAGCAAAGAACTGACTACTTAAAATTCTGCATGGTGTTCCATCGTTCTTTTAGAGAACCCTGCTTTGAGAGAGAATAGTATATAACTTATTTTTTCTCAGGATTTGTCTTATAATTTCTGCTCACTCTGTCATGTTGATCAGTAATTTGTAAACATTTGGTTCTAAGAGGGAGCTATTGAAATGCAGTGGAGGGAAAAAGGGGAGGCATATTTCTGAAAGATAAACCCACATTTTTTAGTAGCTTCAGTGCAACTGAACTTAATGCCTCTTTGATTTAAAAAGAAAACAAGTCAAGTAAATGACCTACGTGACAATTAAAAGTCAAAATGTTAGATGAATCTCCTCAAGTCTAGACCTGGCACATATAGATTGAGTAGTCTAAAAGAAGATTTAAGATTTAAGATTCAATTCAGGGCCAGGCATGGTGTCATGTGCCAGTAATCCTAGCAGTTCTGGGGGCTGAGACAGGTTCAAGGCCATATTTAGAATGATGTTGGCCTGAAGCTTAGCATCGATAGCCTTTACAATGTTGAGATATGTTCCTGTTATCCCTAGTTTTTCTAGTGTTTTGAACATAAAGGGGTGCTGTATTTTGTCAAATGCTTTTTCTTCATCTATTGAGATGATCATATGATTCATATCTTTAAGTCTATTGATGTGATGAATTACATTTATTGATTTCAGTATGTTGAATCAACCTTGCATCCCTGGGATGAATCCCACTTGATCATGGTGCACAATCTTTTTGATATGCTTTTGTATTCGATTTGCCAGAATTTTATTGAAGATTTTTGCATCTATGTTCATTAGAGATATTGGTCTGAAGTTTTCTTTCTTTGAAGTGTCTGTCTGGTTTTGGAATCAGGGTGATATTATCCTCACAGAATGAGTTTGGAAGTACTCCCTCTTTTTCTATTTTCTGAAATAAATTGAAGAGTATTGGTATTAGTTATTCTTTAAAGGTCTTGTAGAACTTGGCTGTGAATCCATCTGGTCCTGGGCTTTTCTTGGTTGGTAGTCTTTTGATGGTTTATTCTATTTCCTCATTGATATTGGTCTGTTTAAGTTGTGTATATCTTCCTGACTCTATCTGGGAAGATCATATAACTTAAGGAATTTATCAAAGCCTTCACTGTCTTCTATTTTATTAGAGTATAAGGTTTCAAAATAATTTCTAATTATCTTCTGTATTTCTGTAGCATCTGTTGTGATATTGCCTTTTTCATCATATATGCTGGTAATTTGAGTTCTCCTTCTCTTCGTTAGCATGGCTAAGGGTCTGTCAATTTTATTTATGTTTTCAAAGAATCAACTTTTAGTTTTGTCGATTTTTTCAGTTGTTTCTTTTGTTTCAATTTCATTGATTTCAGCTCTGATTTTAATTATTTCTTGCCTTCTGCTTTTGCTGCTGATTTGTTCTTCTTTTTCTAGGGCTTTGAGATGTAGTGTGAGGTCATTTATTTGTTGACTTTTTCTTCTTTTAAGGAATGAACTCCATGCAATGAAGTAGTACTGCTTTCATAGTGTCCCAGAGATTTTATTATGTTGTATCTGTGTTCTCATTTACCTCTAGGAATTTTTTAATCTCCTCCTTGATGTCTTCTGTAACCCATTTAGTAGCATATTGTTCAGTCTCCATGTGATGCAGGATTTTTTATTCTTTATTTTGTCATTGATTCCCAATTTCATTGCATTATGATCTGATAAAATGCATGGTAGTATCTCTACTCCTTAGTATTTGATAAGAGTTGCCCTGTGGCATAGTATATGGTCTATTTTTGAGAAGGATCCATGTGCTGCTAAGAAGAAAGCATAACCACTTGATGCTAGTTAATATATTCTATACATGTCAGTTAAGTCTAAGTTATTAATTGTGTTATTGAGCTCTATAGTTTCTTTATTCAACATTTGTTTGGAAGATTTGTCCAGTGATGGGAGAGGTGTGTTAAAGTCAGCCAAGATTATTGTGTTTTGGTCAGTTTGACTCTTGAACTTGAGAAGAGTTTGTTTGATGAACATAGCTGCACCATTGTTTGGGGCATATATATTTATATTGTTATGTCTTGTTGGTGTATGGTTCCCTTGAGCAGTGTGTAATGTCCATCTTTATCCCTTTTGATTAACTTTGGCTTGAAGTCTATTTGATATAATTATGGAGACTCCTACTTGCTTCCGCACTCCATGTGAGTTGGATTTTTCCCAACCTTTCACCTTCAATCTGTGTATGTCTTTTCCTATGAAATGAGTCTTCTGTAGGCAGCATATTGTTGGATCTTTTTTTTAAATCCAATCTGCTAGCCTATGTCTTGATTGGTGAGTTAAAGCCATTAACATTTAGGGTTACTATTGAGACATGGTTTGTATTTTCAGCCATATTTGTTTATTTTTGTTATTTAACTTGACTTGGTTTTCCTCTTTGATTAGTATTTCTTTTATTGTACCACCTCCCTCTGCTGGTTTTCATTGTTGTTTTTCATTTCCTCTTCATGAAATATTTTGCCAAGGATGTTTTGTAGTGCCAGTTTTCTAGCTGTAAATTCTTTTAACTTTTGTTTATAGTGGAAGGTTTTTATTTCATCTTCAAATCTGAAGCTTAGTTTTGCTGGATACAAGATTCTTGGTTGGAACCCATTATCTTTCAGTTTGAAATATGTTGTTCCAGGGTCTTCTAGCTTTCAGGGTCTGTGTTGAAAAATCTGCCATTTTCCTAATTGTTTTATCCCTGATTTTAATCTGATTCCTTTCTCTTGTGGCTTTAAAAATTCTCTCCTTATTCTGTATGTTGGGCATTTTCATTATAATGTGTCTTGGTGTGGATCTGTTGTGATTTTGCACATTTGGCATCCTGTAGGCTTCTTGGATTTGGATTTCCATTTCATTCTTCATGTCTGGAAAGTTTTCTGATATTATTTCATTGAACAGATTGCTCATTCCTTTGGTTTGGACCTCTGTGCTTTCCTCTATCCCAATAACTCTTAAATTTGGTCTTTTTATCCTATCCCACAGTTCTTATATGTTCTGCTCCTGTTTTCTTATCATTTTCGCTGTGCTATCTATGTTCTTCTCAAGATGATATACTTTGTCTTTGTTGTCTTATGTCCTATCTTTTAAGTTGTCTACTCTGCTAGTGATGCTCTCATTTGTGTTTTTAATTTGTTTTATTATTTTGCGTTACTTTCCTACTCTGTGGGAC